AGGCCAGCTCACTAAAACCTGTCCAGTGTTTCAGGAGATGTGCTAACAGCCAGCATTAAAGGTTTTAAAAATTRAATCAAATTCAATTGAAAATGAGTGCTAAAAATGTGTGTTAAGCATAAATCTCATCTAACACCAAACCAAACTGGAGCTTAATAACTGCAAAATTGGAATCACAGACATTTTATGTTTAAGGTGATAAACTGTGATGACTATCAGCTTTAGTGTTTTAAACAGCTGTGGATGCACACCATTTGTGTACTTTCTGCGAGTTTCTGTAAAATCTATCTTCTGGTATATGAAATATTTGGCTGATGTTACACAGACAAACACACACATGAACACAGGCAACAACATTATCTTTTGTCAATAACTTTACGGCAAACTTTGTAATATTAACTTTTCTATGCAAAGTAGAAGACACTAATAAATCTGCTTGTATTTTTGCAAAAATGTGCAGAAATATAATAATAATAATAATAATAATAATAATAATAATAATAATAACTTTGTTTAAATGATTATTTCTCATTGCAAAGCACTACTCAATTTAGGTATTCCAACTGCCAACCTTCTTGTTGCTGCAATTCAAATAAAGACACATGCTCAGTCATTACAAAATGATGTTTTTGAACTTCTTCTATGATTGTGAACATGCTGTAACAGTTCTTTTTTTCTGACACTGCAGTTGTTTATTTGAACACCTACTGTGCAGGAAGTTCAAATAAGAGTAATTTTGACCAAAGCTGAACTGACCTTTGAAGCTGTGCTAGTGAGGGGTATGGTTGTGCAAAAGCAACCTGTAACTGTGTAGTAATCAGTGGTGGATGTTGAAACAGTTGTGTCATACAGTTAACCATAGGACAATGCAAAATTAAAATTGTGAAAACTCATCAAGCAGTCACAAAACAACTGAAAATATTATTTTAAAATACATTTTTATCATTAAGGTATAATTTACAGAGTCTAATTCTTCTTGCAATAATCCTGCATGGAAAAATAAACTTGGATTAAAGCTCTATAGCTGCACATCTTCAAATAAAGATATTTTAAGGTTTACTTTTAATAATATAAAACAATGCTTTATAACTACATTACAGCTGTGCTGAGAAAAAAATACCCAAATTTAGGAGGACAAAAGCCAGAGGGCTGTAATAATTACTGCAACAGTCCTGTCACCAACATTATGCACTAACCTAATCAATGGTCACTGTGCTTAAAGGGGCAGTAATGAATAGTTCTAATAAGTGGTGTTTTTTTATGTGTGTGTGAGAGAGTGAGGGTGTGTGTATGTGTGTGTGACTGATTTCCCATCACAGATAGGAGTCAGATTGTACCCCTGTTTGCTTGAGGCCAAACACTGAGGTAGGTAGAGAGGGTGTGTGTATGTGTGTGTGTGTGTGGGGGGGGGGTACATGTGAGAGTAGTTAATGTTAATGTCACTAATGAGTAGCTGCGATACATGGAGCCTGTGTACACCTGCTACTGCCATTAGTCCCAAAGAGCAGACTAATCACGTCGGCTCTCAAATTTGTGCAAGTTGTCCAGTGTCCCTCAGATTCAAGAACCCTTCATTAAAGAAACCACTCGAATGTTCGCCAGCAAAACCAGCTGATGTATGCTTCTTCTAGATAAAAAAACAGACCGGGAAAATCTGGTCTTATGGATCCAATTCAAGAGCATTGGACATCTGGAAGAGGCTCCCAAACTTCTGGGTGTCTTTTGAGGACTGGTTGACACCTCAAATAATGAGAAAACAAATAAACTGAATTCTGAGGGTCTGTAGACAAGCAACTATGTTTTGTTCAGTCAGTTTTTGTGAAAATCATGGCTTGATTTAGCTAAACTTGCATGCTTCCCTTGTCTCCATGCACTAACACTTAAAATTGTCTTTTGATTTTCTGCAGATGCCTTTTAATCCCCTATTAGTACAGATTAGATTTATCTAAGAAGAGAAACCTCTAAATTATGGGCCCACATAATATGGCCCTCAAACCCTGGATTAGACTAAGGTTCAGTAACTTTAGGTTATGACTATACCTTAATGCATTTTGTTTTAGTCTGTTTTTTTAGCTTAAAAACAATAAAATTGCATGCTTTTTTATCTAAATGAGTGTAACCAAGCTTCTCAGCAAGTATGGACACAACCTGTTACCTTTTGTGTTACTCACACACCCTTTTTCTTCCTTTGTCAGTTCAAATGAATCATTCTTACAATTTCACCAATCAATCCTAAGTGAATACCAGTCCGTAACTGTTCCCATGACTACTGGAAAGACGGAGACCAGGGTGTGAATGTAGTTTTTWTTTTCTTTGTTTTTATTTTTTTTTATCAAACCACTGTACAGGTTGTTACAGGGTCAGAMAGGATTTGGCGATTGTAAAACAGACACGCTGAAGAACAAATACAGCTCATATCGTTAAGAAAAAGGAGGCTGAAAAGAAACAGGGGACTGAGAGCTGGAGGTTACCGGTGCTGCTGTTGCTCAGCAGGGTTCAGTCGTGATTCKCTGATTTGCAAGGCCTGAAGAAAACACCACAACCTCCCACCCACTCGTGGGAGATGCTAAAGAAGAGATCTCATCCTCTTTAATTCATCATTTTCATTCTTGCATATGCGCCACAGCCAACTGACTTTAAAAAAGCACAAATGTGTTTATAATTTCATCAGTTTTAGAGATATCAAMCTAAAAACATGTGTGGTAGTAGCTGAGAATAATTCCAACACATATTCTGAGAGAGAACAGATTATGCAACAAATTTGTTTAAAGTTTTACTATTAACTAGCTGGTGTTAATTTTGCTTGTCTGTTTGTAAAATATTTTTCGAATCACTGAGCAGTTTTCTTGAAACTTATTAGAATTCATAATTGGACGTACCTGTGCAACTAATTAAACTTTRAAGCCAACCTAATTAATTATGGCTGCCACAATCAASCAGTCAGTTTWACAGATATTGTTCTAAAATTTGATGTGGTAGTAGCTGAATGTTTTTATTGCAACACGTGCACTGAGTGTGGCGTCTTCTGACATCGCATGCAATTACACACATTATTTCAAGACTGAAATGATTTTATTCTAAACCTTGTCACACAAGGTAGTGACTAATAAGCATTCTTAATGCTAGGCCTTTAATTTATTCATGACGTGTTTAACTTCTTCTGTACATAAATGCAAGGGTGTCATTTTAAGTATATCATGGGGGGAGGGGGTGTTATGCTCTAAAACACTGTGTGTCATTTTTAGCGATTGTGCTTAAAAGTACATTTATGACATAGTAAATTTTTATATTGGGTCAAAGTTACCTATACAGAAACAAGATAGTTGCATATGTGTACTTCACCAGTTCATTTCTACTGCATTTGAGCAAATTATGTCATTTTATTTGGGAGTCATTTTGACTGGACYAAATTATTGTGGGGGTCATGACCCCCCTAACCCTCTCTGCAAATTATGCCTATGTATAAATATTCAAAGAGGGTTAAAAGCAACCTGCGGTCATGAAAACTGAGGCAGTGACACCACCAGCAGGTGCTGTCAGTGTCCTTGTGAGCACAAAATGAGCACACGGCCAACGCATTATATGGTCAGTTTAGYTGAACTTCCTGAACTGGAAAGGTTTCTCGCAGGAGTGTTATCACAGGGCTTCAGGCCTCAGTAGACAAGCTGCAACAATGGAGAAGAGGAAAGAAACCATGAAAAAAAGGAAGCAAAACCTACTTCCTGTAACTCTTAGAGCAATAGAAATGGACAAACAGGATCTGCCTGCACTCATACAGCCAGCAGCTATCAGTATCTGTCTATCTCCATTTTTCTCTGGAGATAGAAGCAACAGTTGGTGATCACGTGTCTTCATTAGCATCACAAATGATGAAATGCACATGTGTGCCCTCTGCTTAAATTTATTACTTAAAAAGAGACTTAGTGAAACATCGTTTTTGTTTGCTACATGATTTCAACAGAATACAGATAAAAAGAGCCAGATAGGAGCATGGAGGGATGGAGGGAGGGAGGCTGTTTCCATGGTAGCGGAAGCCGCTGCAGTCGTCATCACAAGGCTTCTTCTGCATCGTGCTTGCGTTACCATGTGTGTGTGTGTGTGTGTGTGTGTGTGTGTGTGTGTGTGTGTGTGTGTGTGTGTGTGTGTGTGTGTGTGTGTGTG